CCTGTAGCTTGGCGTGTGGTTATACACTGCCGTTCGCCGTAAGTTTGTCTTTGGCTTGCTCAAACGTGTGAATATTGTTGCAGCTTGCCATTAGCTTGCCGTTCGATGTGTCTAACATCCATGCGTCTCTTTGCGCCAGCGCGTAGGGGCGCGCTTCGCATCTCGTCTCCAGCTTCTCGCCAGCGTGCCTTCAGTTTGCCGTTAGCTTGCCTCCATATCGTCTGCTCAGCCTGACCTGCGCAGCCTCGGAGCAGCTCCCCCGGCGGGGTCGCACCGCTTGTAGACGAGCGCGCTCCACTACTCGCAAAGTAACTTCTCGCAAATGGCCTGGATCCGCCGCGGGGCATCTACGATACATTACATCGAAGCAGACATGTGAATTTTCGGACGTTTGCGAGTAGGCACTTTGCGAGTAGTGGAACGCGCTCGGTGAGCTTGTCTTTTGCTGCCCTGGTGCGGTGCGCGACGGAGCCACTGGCTTCACCTCCAGGCACATGCCCAGCGCACCGTCGGGAGGCTCCGGGCTGCCCTCCGCGGGCGCCCCTCGCGGGCCGCCGCCCCTCTGGGGCGCCCAATGCACGGGCTGCTCCCTGCCGGTCGTCTTGTCCCAGGACGACCGCCCGGTGGCCGCGGCCGCGGCGGCGGCGGCGGCGGTGGGCCGGCGCGCCGCCCCCGAGCGCGCGCCGCCCCGCTCCTGGGGGCAGTAGGAAGCGCCGCGCTGCTCCCCGGACCTCCCCTGGGCTTGGCGCCGACCGGCACTCCGAGGAGACCCCAGCCGTGGCGACGAGGGCATCGCAGGAGGCCCAGCGGTGCCCCAAAGGGCGAGGGCAGCAGGGGCGGCGGCGTCGGTGCCTTTCCCCCCCCCTCCGGGCTCCGAGGCCGGCGTGGCCGCCGCTCCCGCTGTCTTCGCGGGCAGCGCCTGCGTGCCGGCCACGCCCAGCGCGGGCGGCGTCGGCGTGGCAGGGGCCTCGTCCCGGGCGGCGGGCGGCGGGGCGGCGGGGGCCCTGCGCCTGCGGGGCGGCGGGGGGGCGCCGCCTTGCACGCGCAGCTCCAGCCGGCCCGGGCGCTCCATGAGCCCGCGCCGCTGCAGGCACTCGTCCCAGGCCGCCTGGCTGTCCAGGGTGAAGTCCTCGCCGTTCTCGCGCCAGCAGAGCCGCAGCGCCAGGGGGCCAGCGCCTCCCGCGGGGTCCGCGGGCAGGCCGAACTTGCGCGCCACCTCTTGGGGGTGCCAAGACGGTCGGGGTGACAGGCCGCGGCGGTGACCTCGTAAACCCAAAGGACCACACCGCACGGTCCGTCACCGCACGGTTTTGAGACCTCGGAGGCCACGGGCCGTCCGTCGAAGAAAGACTCGATCGAGACCCACAACCGTGCGGTCACCCCAACAATCCCCACTGACTCACCATGCGGTGCGGTCGCCACACCGTCTGGGGGCCCCAAACACCTCGAGCAGCACGGCCGCGAACTTCACCCGGAGCGGCATCATGCAGAACTTCACCCTGGCGCCCCACAGCACGCGTACGCCGACCATCCGGCGCACAGAGGCCAGCCTCTCTTCGGCAGCGCCCGTGTCCTCGCCAAGCGTGGTGGCTCGCTCGATGGCCTCTTCCAGGTGCCCTGTGGGCCACTCCCGCGTGCGCGGCTGCAGCGTGGCGTCCAGCACTCCGGGCTCCAGCGTGGACTCAAGCTCGAGTGCCGCCGCGTGGTCCGGCGGGCTGCAAGCCATGCCCTCCTCTGGCACGGCTCCGAGGCCGTCCCCCAGCAGCCCGCCGAGAGCCGCCACGGCGTCCTCTAGCAGCGCGCCGCGCCGGACGCGCAGCTCCTCCTCCAGCGCGGCCGCGGCCGCGCACTCGGACGCCCCTGCGCAGGCCCCGCTGCTCTTCAGGGCGGCCAGCGCGCTGGCGATGTCCTCGGCGTCGTCCACGTCGGCGCCGAGCGCGGCCCGCGCCTGCGCCACTGCGGCGCCGCCGGCCCACGGCGGCGTGCGCACGCGCTCCGCGCCGGCCCAGTCGCTGTCGGGCCCGCCGGCCGCGCCGCTGGCGTCGCTGGCGCCCCCCGCGGGGCCCAGGGGTATCCCTGGCTCCGCCGTGGGCGGGCTCTCGGGCCCAGGCGCGTCGCCGTCCACCACCAGCGCAGACACCGCGTCGCTCACGCCCAGCGCCTCCACGAGGCGCATGCGCTCCAGCGGGTCCTTGGCGAGCAGCCCGAGCGCGGCGCGGCTCACGTCCTCCGAGGTGCCCTCTGGCAGCGCCGCCGGGCTCTCCTCGCAGATGCGCCGCACGAGCGCCAGCTGGTTGGAGGCCTCGAACGGCCTCCGCAGGGCCGCGACCTCGTACATCACGGCGCCCATGGCCCAGCAGTCGGCCGGGGGTCCGTACTCCTGGAGGAACGAACATTTGCTTGAACATGTACTTTCGGAGCTCCGCGCGGACTTCTTGGATCGGCGCTGGACCCCCTCTCTGGCGCGCGGAGCGCGCTACGGGCGGCGCCGGCCAGGGAAGGACAGGGCAGATCGAAGAAATCCGCGCGGAGCCCCGAAAGTTGATGCTCATACGACTTGTTCTTCTTCGTACTCCTCCCCGGAGATCAGCTCGGGCGAGACGTAGTACGGGGTCCCCACACACGTGAACGCCTTAAGCGTCGATGCCTCCACCAGCTTGGCGATGCCGAAATCGGCCAGCTTGATCCGCTGGGATCTGCGGGCCAGCAGGATGTTGGCGGGCTGGACCAGGCCCACGTGGACAGGGACATTCGACGAGCGCAAGCCGTTATGGATGACGACTCGGGGAAGCCACGAGCAGAAGCATGAGGCCAGTGTTGCCTGATTTTGCGACGGAGCGCGCCGAGTCCGTCCTTAAACGGGACCCGTTGTTAATCCATGCGCCTTAATCCATGGTTGCACTTCCTTGACATGCGGCGAGCGGTGATATCTGCGCCCCCGCAAGCCTGCAAAACATGAGCAAGGCGAGAAGGTCTCGATCGGCCACTCTGCTCCTCTGGATCTGCTGGCGTCTCCGCCCAGAATGAGGCGGACGAAGGGGGGGATAGAAGAGAGGAGATTAGCGCAGCAGCTCACGTACGTGTCTAAGTTCTCCCGTGCCCAAGGGCGCCCATACGTAACGAGGAAAACGCCCTGCGGCGGGGCCGAAACCTGCTGCACGCAATAGATTTCGTGGCCCCTCCTTTCCCCATTCCCCCCCATTTTTGGGGCAACCATGGGGGGGGGGGGGCCGGCTCAGGGGGGGAAACGTCGACCTGGAATCGGAGACACATCGCCGATAGATCGGCGCAGGGCCATCGATAGCGAAACCGCACGCTCCTGAGCGGGGCAGGCTATCGGGCCCCCAGCGGCGATGAGTGGGTGATCGGGGGTCGATGCACCCCCCGCTGAGCCTGTCCCTCCTTTAACCCGACCTCCGACCTCGAGGAGAATTGCCACGTCGCGAAAAACGGCGACCCGAGCCGCGGACTCGATCTCTCTGCTGCATTTTGAGAGCTGGACCGACCTGTGGCCCTGGGGCCCGAGGCTGCACGAACACCCCCGGTGTGGAAAAATTGCAGCGCCCGGATCTCACGGAACGTGGCCCCCTATAGGACGTCCCCGTGCACGCGGCCCTGACTTGACGTCCCGGTGCAAAATGCTCCGGGCGTGGACAAAATTCAGGGCGCCCCCTACGGCGGCCAGCACCCTCCGGGCGAAGTGCGCCCCGAGGAGGTCGCCGCCGCCCTCCCGGCGGGCCTCGATGAGCCCGTGCAGGTCACCGCCGTCCATGTACCGAGGAAGAAAACACTGCACAAACATAAACTTTTGGAGCCCGCGCGGATTCTTGGATCGGCGCTGGGCGAAAATTTACGTTCATGCCTGTTTCCGTCCCTCGAATGTATTCGAGCACCAGCCGGACGACCTGGGGAAACCAAAAGATACCGATACCGCTGCTGTCCGGACCTCTCCCTGGGCGCGCTCTGGCCAGAACTTCGAAGCGAGCCCAGCCGTGGCGACGAGGGTTTACCAGGGGGCCCAAGACGGCGAAACCGAGGCAAGGGTAGCGGCATCGGAACCCAGAGTTTCATAATCAAGGGGGAGGGGGGGATGAGCACAACCCTCTCAGACGAGCAATTTTTGCGCAGACCCCCGGGGACCCTTTCAGACAGCTCAAGTCGGACCCCCCCAAAATCAGACCCCGTCCCTTCTATTATGAAATTCGGAGTGCCCTGTCCTCCTCTGACGACCTGCCGCTCGCCGTCGTATGACACCTCCTGGCAGGCGACGATGTGCGGGTGCCGCAGCTCCTTCAGGAGCTCCGCTTCCCGCAGCGCCGAGCCACGGCGGGCCTGCGCGGCCGCGCCCTCCGCCTCGCCGGCGGCGCTGTCGCACGGAACCACCTCGACAACGACACCGACGTAGACGTCGACGTCGTCGACGACGACGGCGACGACGACGCCGACGACGACGATGGCGGCAACGGCGGCGGCGACGACACCTAAATCGTCCTTACCACCTTCACGGCGAACTGGACACCCTCGGGGCCGTCGGCGAGCCAGACCTCTCGATGATCCTCTGAACGGGTGCCAGCGCCAACGTTTGCTTGCCCACCGAAGCCCTTCAACACGACGCAGTCAGCGCAACGACGGCCGAAAACGGGCAGCGTGCTGTCGGCGGAGCTGTGCGGAGTAAGCCCGCAGTGGCCTAACCCACGTTCTGAGGATTATCGGACCTCCCCAAAGGCGCCCCGCCCTAGCAGCCGGCGCAGCTCGCACCGCCCCGCGAGCGTGGCGTCCTGCCGCTGGCCGCCGCCGGCCGCCGCCGCCATGGCGCCGACACGCGGGGCAAGGCCAGCGCGGCGGGCGCAGCGGGCGGGGGCCAGCGAGTGCTTTTTGCTGGGCCTCGGCGCAGTGGCGCCGCGCGGCGCCGCGCGGAGCCGCGCCGATGAAGCCCAGACGGCTGCGGCGGTGGCCCTCCACCACGCCAGCCCTTCAGGGAGGCTGGTGGCCTACATCGGGTCGGCTCACAAGGCCAATGGCCTCTCTCTCTTTCCAGCGCACCTTCCCGCGTCAGGGCTCAAACCGACGGCGCTGTGCCTCTGCTTCAACCCTTCCCCTGGCGAGCTCAGCCACTCTCTCCCCCCCAGCATCCTCCAGTCCTTGCAATGCCTTCCCCCTGCCCCGCGCTGCAGCACCTGCCACCTCCGCGTGTGGACTGGGGGTGGCTGGCAGTCTGACAGGGGCGGCCAACAACCGCGGAAAGACGGACGAACCGTGGACGAGAATCTCCTTGTCGGGCGGAGCTCACCGGATTTGAGGGCTGGGGGCCTCCTGGGGCCCTTCTGAAACTCTTCCGGAGTGCGCTTTTTCTGGGGCAGTGTTGGGGCCTTGCTGAGGCCCTGTTGGGGCCTCTTGGAGCCCTCCTGGGGCCGATTTGGGGCACGAATGGCGTGCAGTGTTGGGCCGAGCCTCGGACTCGAAGGCTTCTGGGGGCCTCTGGGGGCCCTCGTGAGTCTCTCTTGGGGTGCTCTTTGGGGCCTTTGGTGCCCTCTCGGGGAATTCCTGGGCCCTTCTCGAGTCAGTCTCGGGCCCTCTTGAAGCCTCAGGGTCCATCGGAAACCGAAGAGGCGCGGATGCGAACATCGCATTATCACTCTATCATGCTCCATCTCTGTCCGCTGATCCCTTCGCCTCGCGGAAGTATCACTGGGAGGCCATTGGGCCACCGCTGGGCCATCTTGGGGTCTCTGGCAGCCCCGCTGGACCCATACTTGGTCAATATAAAACATCGCTCTGGGCGCCGACTTGGAGGCCTGCGAAGCCTTGCCCTGCAATGTCTCGTCCTACTTGGTCTAAGACGGGACCGCGGGCGCGCGGGCTCCTCGATTTCTGGCGCTAGCAGTGGGCAGGCCGCGATGCCAATGAAAGCCCCCCCCCAGCCCCAACTTCGCCAGACCTCATCAGGGCGCCAAGGTGTTCGTTTTCGCTTGTGAATCCGAAGGCTCCGATAAGGAACGAAACGCCATATAACATGTTTAGCACGTGTATGTGTACGTATATACACACAAGACTGCTTTGGCGCTTCGCGCCTTGCACCTTGGTCCTTGAAGTTTGGCATGCAAGCGGAATGGCAAGAAAGGCAAACAGCCCATTTAGCGATAACTCCTTGTTGCCTTTTCTGGCATCGCCGTTATAAGAAAGTTATGTGTTATCCTTCCTCCATGTTTTTGTTCCTCATTCTCGCCCTACCCTACGTATTCTTCCCCATCCTCCTCAGCTCTTTTTGCGGAGGCTCCTCCTTGGAGAGCCTCTGTTGGCCTCACGGAAATTGCTCAGGCTTTCTCACGGCCTTCTAGAGGCCTCCTGGGCGTCTTCTGGGGGCCTCTGGGGGCTTCCTCGGGCCACCCTGCCTCCAACCGCGGTCTCCCTGAACGACTGGGCCACGATTTGGAATGCGTCGGAGGGTGTCTCGGGGCCATCTTGGGCCGTCAAGGGGCTCTCTTAGGCCATCTTGGAACCCTGTTGTGCCCTCTTGGGGCTCTCTTGGACTGCCTGGAAATCCTTTCGGATGGTTTTGGGGTGATCTTCGAGCCTCCCAGGCGGTTTCAGATGCCCAAACAAAAAAGAACAGGGCATTCATTCCCCAAATCATGCGAAACAATTAGGGCATCAATATTTTTCTGAGTTTGGGAAGCCTCTTGGAGGTCTTTTTTGGATAGTCTTCGGGCGTCTGGTGGGTGTCCGGGGCCTCTTAGGGTCCTCGGAAGGACGTTCGGCCGCCCTCCTGACCGATTTGGGCCCGTTGCCCAGGCCCAGCAAGGGCATCCAGGAGCTCTGAAACGCCTGGGGGGCCTCCTGCCAGGGCGTCCAATGGGCTCCCAGAGCCACGGACCCGGGGGGTCCAGAGGATCCCGGGGGCCCCGGATTCGGGGGGTCCGATTTCAGGGGGGGGTCCCGGGGAATAAAGAGAGATATGCGTGTGTATAAATATATATATATATATATATATATATATGGGAATGCACATATTGATTAGTTCCGTTGGCGATTTGTTTGGCCAGTTCGCTCGGGACGTCCTCTGAGTGCTGGACGCGCCCCCCACGCACGTCGCGACGTCACGGTCCAAACATGTAACTATTTCTCAACAAGTTTAACATGACACGCTCAAGAACATAATGGAATTCAATGATAGTGAGCCCAAGTATTCGAGCATTGCAAGTTCGTCTGGTACGTCCTCCAATCATCAAGCTAATTTTCAACACGGCTCTTAAAAAACAAGCCGTTTCGCCTGATATATCCTCCCAACATCGAGCCCCGACGTACACCACATACACGCACAAACAATGCACACAGCACATACACACACCACACAAGCACACACCACTCAACACGCACAGAAAACACATACACACGCATCACGCTCACGCACACGCACACGCACACGCACATACACACATACACACAAAGACACACACACATACACACATACACACAAATATACACACAAACACACAAACACACACAAACACAAACAAACACACACACACACACACACGCATACGCACACACACGCATACGCACACACACCACACACACAACACACACACACACAACGCACACGCATCACACACAACACACCTAATGCAAGCAACACACACACACACCTACACACTCTTCGGTCGTCGCGGGCGGGAGCCACTCCTCGCCGTCAAACGCCCGCGCTGCAAGCCGCGCGCGTGTGCCCATCTGCATGGAAGAACCTTGGCAAGGAATAGGGAGACGGGCCGCCCCCTCACGGGGCAGTGGCCGGGCAGGGGCACCAGGGGCGCCCAGGCAGCGGGGAGGCAGCGTGGAGGCGCCGGCGAGCGATGGGGCGGCGGGGCCAGGCGCCCGGGGTCCAGCGGCGAAAGGGCGGGTGCCGCGCCAAAGACTGGCTGGGAGAGTCGGTGCCGCGCCAAAGTCCGGCGCGCAGGGGGCGGCGCCCGCGAGCGGCGGGGCCAAGGGGGGGGGGAGCTGGCGGCCGGCCAGACCGAGAGGCCGGGAAGCAGGAGAGACCAGGGAGCGAAAGCGGCGGGGCGGCGAGGCGAGGGCGGGGGGGCGGGGAGAGGGTGGCCGCGGGCGAGTCGGGGCAGGCGCGGCGGGGGGCGAGTCAGGCCTCGGGGACCATGTTCGGGCCATCTTGGAGGAGATCGGTCGAAGGAGGGGGCCCAGGAGGCCAAAATGTGGCCAACGCCGTAGCAACATCAGTGATTGTGGCCATCTCGGCGAGGCCATCTTGGGCGCTCCAACGTCTTGCGAAACGCCCCCTCCGAACCCAGGGGGAGGGAGGGGGAAGGGGTAACCCCTCCCCGAATGGGAAGGTGTGCTGTTGGAAGAAGAAACAAGGTTCCAAACCATTCACGCCCGGAGGGCTGGTGGGATTAGGCGGGGGATAAGCCCCCCCTCCTCTCCTCCTCTTTCCCCATTTCACCCTCCTCGATTTTGCTCCTCCTCCTCCTCCTTTCTGGGAGTGTTTTTTTTCCGAAAGGGGTCCCGAAGGATGAGGCTCGGTATCTAGGACCGTATCTCTCTCTATGTCGACATCGTCGAGGGGGGGGAGGTCATGATTGGGCTTGCTGGAGTATCCCCTTCTCGTTTCAGTGGAGGCGCACGTTGCGGATAGGTTTCTGTCAGGGCGCTCTTCTTAGCGGTCTTGACAATTTTGTGTTGTCTCCTGCCGATTGTCGTCGACTGGATCGTACGCTGACTGCTCTGGGCAGGATTGCTATGATGGGAGCGGCGACCTCGTGGGCGGGGCATCATCCTACTAGCTTGTCTAATGTCGAGGTCTTGGCTCACTGGAAGCTCTTGGGGCGCCAAAAGGAGATGCAGATCCGTAGGCTACACATGTACACATGTCATGAACATCATTGTCAAGTTTTGTGTTCGTTTGGAAAGGCGTTGTTTGATTGCGATCGCCCCCCACTCTCTCACGGGCTACCAATTTCTTATTATTCGCCGTGGGTCCTACAACTACATAAAAGATTTTGCTTGGGCTGCGGAACAGCTGGAGGTGGGCATCTTAGATGATATTGCGGGGGATTTGACTATTCTCGGGGATCGAAATAGGGCAGACGACATACAGGCAATGGACTTCTCCGAACTGCGTGCTCGTCATTTTTCGGTTTGCGTGGCACCTCCAGGTTGGGCCCCTCCATCAGCGCCGGTTTCAGACATCGCTCCTAAGCAGGAGGAGGCAGATTTCTGTTGCTGGCTGAACGTCGAAAGATTTGACACGCCTTGTAGCAGGGCCAAGTTTACGTCGCGGACAATTGGTTTGAACCATGTACGACAAGTGCATCATCTTCGGAATATGTATAGGTTCTTGACCTCCACCAACATGTGCACCAATTGTCACCAGACATTCTCATGTACGGCAGATGCAGCAGTACATCTTCAAGCATTCTTGACAAGCGGACATTGTAGACCTATGGGACCCTACAATCTCTAGAAGCTTATCGCACCCTCATCATTGGCGTGTCCCAGATGCCCATTTGAAGGCTCCAGTCTCTCGACCTTGTGCGCTCACCTGCTCACGCACCCTCCCGTTGACCTTCAACCGTGCATTACTCGCGATGCACGAGGGAGCGGCTGGCATCGGCTCGGCGGCGGGATCGGGCGAACAGCTCCCTCCGTGGTTCAGTGGCCACATTGCGCAGGTGAACAAGAGGCAGGGCGAGGGCGACGGGGAAGAGGGGCGCGCCTCGAAGCAGGGGCGGCAGCAGCAGCAGCAGCAGCAGGTACAGGTGAAAGGCTCCGACAAGGACAGAAGGCCTCTTGGGGCCCTCCAGGGGCCGTCTTGGGGCCATCTTGAACTGCCTGGGGCCGTCTGGAGGCTAGCTGGGACCGTCTTGGCCGGCTTGAGGGCCGTCTCGAAGACATCTTCGGCCGTCTTGGAACCATCTTGAAGGGTCTTGGCGGCCCCAATCGACCGTCTTGGGCCGCTTTGGGGCACCTCGTGGGCTATTTCTGACCATCC